CCCAGTGGAGGAGCAGCCCCACGGAGTGGAGGAGCACCCAGTGGAGGCGCAGCCCCACAGAGTGGAGGAGCACCCAGTGGAGGCGCAGCCCCACGGAGTGGAGGAGCACCCAGTGAAGGAGTAGCCCCTGCTCTCCTCCTGCCCAGCAGCCCTGGCTGTGGCAGGAATGCCTCCCCCACCAGGAGTTTGGTCCCCCTTCTGTGACGAAGGCAGTGACAGAGAGGAGATGGCGTTCTTTCTGTATTCCCCAAAGAAGGCAGGCCTGGCGCGATGGGCACCATCCTGTGGGGTCCAGGGGCCCCAGTCTAGGACAGACTGGATTCAGACCATACTGCCTGAATCTCCAGGAGGGTAGAGGGGCAAGAGGGCCCACAGCCCCACACGTGGTACAGGACAGGCCTGACAGTCGCCACCCTAGAAGGCCTCCTACCTGCTCCCACGCTCACCTGCCAGCTGCACACAATGGCAGCCAGAGGGCAACCGAGAGCACCTGAGTGCGGGCCGTCCTTCCCCAGCCCACTGCCCTCCCTGGCTCCCACCTCCCTCAGGGTCAAAGCCCAAATCCTCCCTGCAGCCCACAGGGCCCTGCACAGCCTGCCCTATCCTCTCCCTGCCCTCCCCTTTTCCCTCTCTCCTCTCCTCCCTCTCCTCCAGCCGCAGGGGCCACCTCGCTGTTGCTCTGGCACGCCAGGCGCTGTTCTCCAGGCCTTTACGTGAGCTGCTTCTCCTGCCTAGAATGCTTCCCCTCCCAGGAGTCTTCACAGATCCCCTCCCTGCATTCGGAGCCTCACTTAAACCCAAACACAAGCCTTGAGAGTCTACTCACACCTTCAAGGTCTATCCTATTTAAAACAGAAACCATGGCCAGGTACAGTGGCTCACACCTGTCATCCTAGCACTTTGGGAGGCCGAGACGAGCGGATCACGAGGTTGGGAGTTTGAGACCAGCCTGGTCAACATGGGGAAAGCCTGTCTCTACTAAAAGTATAAAAATTAGCTGGGCATGGTGGCGCCTGCCTGCAATCCCAGCTACTCGGGAGGCTGAGGCAGGAGAATCGCTTGAACCAGGGAGGCAGAGGTTGAGGTGAGCCGAGATTGCACCACAGCAGTCCAGCCTGGCAACAGAACAGGACTCAAAAAAAACAACAGAAGGCCAGGCGTGGTGGCTCACGCCTGTAATCCAAGCACTTTGGAAGCCAAGGCGAGCGGATCACCTGAGGTCAGGAATGCAAGCCCAGCCAAAAAAAAAAAAAAAAAAAAAAAAAAACAGAAACCCCATCCCACGCTTTACCCTTCTCCTCAGCAGCACACACCCGGGACCAGCACGCACTACCCTCACCTTGTCATCTGTATAGCTCCTGTCCTTGTTTTGAGACAGGGCTCTGTGGCACAGGCTGGAGTGCAGTGGACTGATGATCGCCCACTGCAGCCTCCAACTCCTGGGCTCAAGCAATCCTCCCGCCTCAGTCTCCTGAGTAGCTGGACTACAGGCACACACCACCGCGGCTGGCCCATTGTTTTAAGGTTTGTATGGAGACCGGGTCTCTCTATCTTGCCCAGGCTGGTCGTGAACTGGGCTCAAGTAATCCTCTCATCTCAGTTATCCCAAGTACCGGGATAACACGCGTGAGCCACCATGCCCAGCCCCCTCCCTCCTGCGAACGTTCCCTCCTGCAGGACAGGGTCCCTGGGCCCATGCACTGCTTTCCTGACCTGTGTCCCGGAACCGGAGCACGGTCTCAGCCCCAGTAGGCATGCGCTCAGTAGACGTGTGGAGTGAAGGCAGGAGTCGCGGCCGCCCTCCCGGGCTTACCTCTCTCTCCAGCTCGGCCTCAGGCTCGGAGTCGGACGAGGACGGGGGTCCCCGGCCCCGGCCCTTGCGTCCCCGCTTCTTGACGGGCTCGTCGTCGTCCCTGAGCTCGTCGCCGCTGCTGCCGCCGCTGCCCCGCTCGGCCTCCCCGCGCTCGGCCCGCTCGCGCCTCCGCTCCTTCTCCTCCTTCTCCTGCTCCCGCAGCCGCCGCAGCTCCTCCTCCTGCTCGCGCCGCCGCCGGGCCTCCAGCTCCCGCCGCCGCGCCTCGTCCCGCCGCTTCCACTCACTGATGCGGTCAACCTCGTCGCTGTCACTGGGGACGGAGGGGGCCGCTGGGGACCTCCGTTTCTCGGGAGCCCGCCCTGCCCCTCAGCTGATGGAGGAGCCACCAGAGGGGCCCCGGCCCCCGCACCCACCTGTTGCTGCTGGAGCTGGACGGAGGCCGCTCAGGCTTCGGTTTCCGCCCTCGCGGTTTTGGGGGAGGCTTCTCAGCTGCAGGAAAAGGAGGAGGGGTGACCTTCCCTCCCAGGGCTCCAAGTGACCAGGGGACTGCCTGCGTGTGCCCGGGCATGGGCCAGGCCAGATGTGCGGGCCACAGGGAGCAGAACGCGAGCGCCAGGGCCCTACCTGGCTTCCTGCCCCTCGGAGGCTTCTTCACAGACACGTCCGAGTCGGAGGACGAGGAGGAGGAGGAGGAGGAGGACGCCGACCGCGCTACGGCCACCGGCTCAGGCTTGGCCCCGTCCGAGTCTGCCTTGGAGTCGGAGTCGGAGGCCGACGGCGCCTTCTGGGGAGAAGCAGGGACAGGCCTGAGCATGAGGAGCCCCGCCGTGAGAAGCGGGGCGCACCCGGCCAGAAGGGCTCCTGCACCCCGGACGCCGCCAGGCTCTGCAGGCCTCGGCTCACGACCCAGCTCCCAGCCCCGTCCAGCCCAAAACCCACCTCCACCCACGTGGAAACCCGGATCCCAGGCGGCCCTGCGCACACCAGCAGCTGCTGGGCCTTCCACCTCCTCCTCCTCGGCGTGGAGGGGGGTACTCTAGACCCCGGGCTCCAGCGGAAACATCTTTTCTTTGTGCAAAATCGTGTGGAGGCCACGCCAGACAAGCTGCTCTGCTCTGCCACCTTCACTCCTGAGTACCTGCCAAACACACACACCACACACCACAGGCAACACATACACAACACACACACCACACTCACCACACACCACACACACCATACAACATACCAGACAACACACAACACACACATCCCACACCACAGGCAACACACACACAATACCAGACAACACAACACACAGACCAAACACACACACACCACACCACAGGCAACACACACACAATACCAGACAACACAACACACAGACCAAACACACACACACCACACCACAGGCAACACACACAACATATCAGACAACACACATAACACACAGACGAAACACACACACCACACACAGGCAATACACACACAACACACACAACTCACAACATACCAAACACACACAACACAGATGAAACACCACATACCGCACAAAACACACACACAAACACAGACACCACACACAACACACACACAACACATACCATATGCAAACACACAAACACCACACATTATGTATAACACACACAAAACACACAACATGCAAACACACAGACAAGACACATTACGTTTAACACACAAAACACAGACAACACATACACCACATACAACACACACACTACACACACAGATAACACACACCATATGCACACAAACACACATCATGTATAACACAAAAAAACACACAACACACACACTACACACAAACGCAGATAACACATGCCATACACACACAAAGACAACACACCATATGCACACACCCAGGCACTCCATATGCACATACACAAACACACAACACACAGACACACCATAGACAACACACACACACACAAACACATACATGTAAAACATACACACCACACACAGACAACTCACACCACAAACACAAAGACAACACACAGCAGACAACACACACACCACACATCACATATAACATACACATCACACACAGACAACACACACCACAAACACAGACAACACAGCAAACATACTGAAACAACACACAGCACTCACAGATAACACACACCAGACAGAGGAGACACACCAGACACATAGACCACACACACCATGCAGACACCACAGAAACACAAACACAACACAAAAAACACACATACCATACACACAGTCCACATGCAAGATGTGAACACACATCATACGAATACAGAACACACACCATACGCAATAAGAAAAACACAATGCAATGCACACACAGATGGACACAAAGACACACAAACACACTATGCACACAGGGACACACATGCACACACACAGGCACAACACACACAGAAGGGAGGCACAGCATACAAACACACAGGAACATGTGCACACACAACACAGGCACACAATCTCCACACACAC